ACTGGACAAACCTAAACGTACACTATCGAAGACAAACTTAACATCGATGCAGGTAAGCATGTTTTAGCTATGTTTTTAAACTAGGAATTATTTTAAATGAATAATAAAACAATTAATGAATTCGGCTTTCGTAGGATATGAAGAATAAAGCAGATCCCGGAGGGTGTTATCGTGGATAACACCCTCCTCGATCTGCTTAATTCTTCACATCCTACTCTGTCTCATTTATTAATTGCTAATTATACAACATAATTATGAAGCAAACAGTTAAATCAAAAATGGATTTGTACACTTTGATGTCAATAGGAGCAGGGGCCTAAAGTAGGGCCCGGTTGTTCAAAAGGAAGGTTAAATTAATCCCGGTTAAGCCTAACCCGGATTTAATTTTCCCCACTTAACCACGGGTTTGTGAACTCCCGTTAAAATTGCGTTTTTGACGGAAGCCTAGTTAAAATACTTGCATATTAAAAGACTTGTATCTTGTACTATGACATCTAAATGTCTGGCTTTAAAACGGGAAAATGACAAATCATGGGAGAAATTTGCATACAAGCTACCACCTTAGTGAAATTGTTAGATAACACGGACAGGAAATCTTCAGGTGGCTGTTCAAAATGCACCAGCATCTTGTTGCAACAAAACATGACATCAAATTTAACTGCTAACGTTTGGTGTTTAAATAAAGAGTCAGTGTGATTGGACTTGACGTCAGAAGCTAGCCACGAACGTTTACATTCAACACCAAGATTTATGTTGTAGCTAATTTTTTACCTCAGGTAATTTTGTTTTTCTTTTGTTTTTGGCATGGCAATGTATGTTTAATAAAGTTGAAACAAAGGAAAAATATAAATTACGTCAGATAAAAATTAACTACAACATTTATGCAACTTATTGGTTCCAGGATCTTACATCAGTTTTATGTTGTAAAATGTGAAATTTCATGCAATTTACTTGACAAAGACGTGTGCCCACCGGCAGTGCAAGGTTAAAGTTACTCGATCCGTTTGCTGGTTACTTTTGTGCCAGAAGAACCAAATCTACACAAAATGCTGTTTACAAGTCAAGTAGCTATAGTACGCAAGCGTTTGTTCCTGATAAGAAATTACAGTCACAACCTTCAAAGTACGGCCATGCACAGAAGGTAATAAAGGTTTTTTTCACTGCCCCCTCGACTTTTACCTTTCATTTTCACTCCTCCCTTCTATCACTTTCCGTTCCTTGTTTGTTTTTTCTCTGCTGGAAATATACCAGGTTTCATTTTCTTGCGAAAAGGTTTTTCGGAGACACTGGGGAACCCAAAATTATTTTGAAGGAAAAACACGTTGGTGGTGGCCGGTAGGACAAAGTTAAGATTTTTTCGGTTTGTTTTGTTTTGTTACTTTTTCTCTTTTGTGTTTCTCTCTGGACTGTTTGACTGAATCATGCTTATTTTGGGATGCCTGGTATTAAAAGATCGCTTTCCTTTATAAATGGGCCACTAAAAATAAACTGATGCCGCAAGCAAGTGGTACATTAAGGGACGTGGTTCCACATGGGCAGTTACAGGCCTTTGATGTGTGAAGCCATTTCATTTATTTCATAAAATAATTTTTAATGTGTGAACAAAATGAAATGATCATAATGTAGACGAGAAGTAAGTGAATCTCAATTGAATTACTCATGCTCAAAGAAGACATATAACCAAGCGAGGATTTAGTAACATAAGGAACGTGTCTATGCTTTCCAGATCGAATTGGATTTTTAAGAAGGGAAAACCGGAGTAGTCCCGGAGTCAAACCTCTTGGACTAAAGGACAGACCAAGCAACAAACTCAACCTACATAATTATGGTGTCAACGCTGATTTGAACCCTGGCCACATTCAATTGGTCGGAGGCGAATGCTCTCACCTGCACTGCACCTCCCTTACCTAGATTTGTATCATGTGAAACCTCCATATTTCACAGATGTTCTTATGTCTTTAAGGGGGAGAAACCTCTGACCAAGCACTAAGTATGTCAAATAAGAGACTGTACAATGTGTTGTACCGGTGATTATAAACAAATATTGGAAGAGATTTTTGTGATATCCGGAATAATTAAGGTCGAGGCAAGTGTTATCAGCCGAGTCGAAGGCCGAGGCTGGTAACACTTATTGAGACCTTGATTATTCAGGATATCACAAAAACCGAATCTAATAATTGCTTTTATACATCGTTTAGAAGAAAATAACGGCAAACACACCGTCGCAAGGAGCCTGAATTGATATTGTTATTGGAAATTACGCATTGCCCGTGCAACCTACAAATTAGTCAGTTATCTGCTAGCAGATAACTAACTAATCTGTAGGTTGACCTGATTTCCAAAATTTGCTGTAGGCTCTTAGCCTATGAGAAGACAGATAGTGGGTACAATGTATAATAATAAGTGTAATGAGTATAAAATATACCTGTGCCATCAGCTTCCACTGAACCACCTTTTCCAACCACTTGGACATCTGGCGTGGGCAGTTTTATTAAACGCTGTACAAAACAAAACTCACCCATCAGTTCTATTCAACAATAAATATATCTTATTAGTTATCACTTTTCTGACTGCTGTGTCCCCATGGGACTTGCAACACACAGGCCTCGACTATAACCATTCAAACTTGCTGATCAATAAAACCTCAGTGGTCCCTATACCGTACTTTAAACACATCTCACAAACGAGATTCCTCTGAATTCATACCTACGTCTGATCAGGAAGCTGTCAACCTGCAATACTCTCTAGATAAGAGTCCTTATAATAAGTAATTGGTTTACAGCTAACCAGAATAGAAAAGAATAGACTGTGTTTTATTAATCGCACTATATTGAACAATTTTACAAATTAATTGATCCAAAACTACCCTTAGCAAAAAATAATATATAGATTTAGCCAGGGCTAAAATCGAGGCTCCCATCAATAAATTTATAATTAAATCAAACAATAAACTTGCATTCCAAAATTCAGTTAACTTTAGAGCACATTCATGAAGAAGAAGAAGATACTTTTATTTAGCTAGGGTAACTCCTACAGTTACAAAAACTGATATCCTTAGAGGCCCTAGATAAAAAAGAAATATAACAATATGTTAAAAATACTTTAAACTAGTCCTAACTAAGCTAATAGAAAAAGATCCTAAAAAAGGTAAAACCGAAATTGGACGGTGATTATCCATATCGGTAGATATTCCTTTCTTGTACAGTGGGGTTATTTTTGCGTACTTCCACTCACTCGGCACTGTTCCCTGCGACAATGATTCATTTACAATTCGAGTCAGCGGCTTGGCAATTAACCACTGCAGCATCTTTCATCATACGCGGATATATATTGTCAAGACCACTAGCCTTGCTTTCTTTGAGACCTTGAAGTGTCTTAACAATCAGCGACTCATTTATCAATTCAAATTTAAAATTTGGTATTGATCCATTAACTTTTTGATCAACGCTTCTTTTTTTAAAAGAAACACTACCGAAAGCCCGCTTAAGGCGTACAGCGGCTGAAGCGAAAAAATTATCGAAACCATTAGCAATTTTCTTTCCATCACTGGCTTCACTACAAAGCACACCGTCAATATTGATATTTTTGGAACCGCCAGAGCTCTTGTTCCCGGGAATGATCTTCTTCGTTGTTCTCCAGAAGGCTTTGGTGTCATCTTTATGGTTATCAATTAACTTCTTGTTGTATGTTTGTTTTGCCCTCTTTACTGAGTTCGTCACACGATTTCGCATAGATTTATACGCAAGCCAGTCTTCGTCACGGGATGATTTGTTCGCCTTTTTTAAAAAGTAGTCACACTGACTAATGTCTTTCTTTATTTGGCCAGTCATCCATGCTCAATTATCTACACCACGTACTCGCTTCTGGATAAGTGGGGCGTGACGATCACCACCTTAAGGAATGCGGACTTAAAATTGAGCCAGAGTTCGTCAACACAAATGACATTCTCATTTGCTGTCCCAGAGGAATTCATACTATCAACCCAATTAACACCTCTAAGACCCTGCTTACATGGAGTGGGGGACCTGGTCTAGTGGGGTAGGTTTCTTTTGTTTTGTGTCCTCCAAAGCGTGAAAACAAAAGAAACCAACCCCACTAGACCGGGGTCCCCCACTCCATGTAAACAGGCCCTAAGGTCTTCACAAAACTTTGCAGGGTCGTATTTTGCATAATTCCTGAAAATCTTTGTTTCTGGGGCAGCTTTCATTCAGTTTAACTTTCTTATGCAAAAAACCATGTCATGATCGCTCACACTCAAACTTAAAACCCCGCAATCTCTAATGTTATGGGGAGAGTTCGTGATAATAATATCCAAACGTGTTTTGGAGTATTGAGTAATACGAGTGGGCTGATTTATGAGCTAAGTGAGGTTTTCTTGTCTCAGTAGCGCCTTGAGTTGTTTACAGTCTGACTCCGTGGTCCGTTTTGGTAATAAATTACAATTTAAATTGCCTGTGATGATCACCTCTCTATCCATAGCCGTAGCACGCCTAAGACAATTGCCAAATATAGGCATGAAGTCTTTGACCGCATGATTTGAAGACGTTGGCGGCTTATAAAATGTGCCAACTAGAAAGCTACGCGATTTCGGTGGGCAAACTTCGACCCAAAGACCCTCGATAGTCGATTCTTCAAGGTCGGGCCAACGCATAACTTTCATATCATTTCTTACGTACACTGCAAGGCCACCCCCTTTATTTCCTCTGTCTCGGCGAAAAAGTTTGTAGCCAGGAATCCCAAGCTCAGAGTCCGCGATATCTTTATGTGCCCAGGTTTCAGAGAAACTCATAAACTGTAGACTCGAGCGCAGTTCGGAAACGATGAGACGCAGTTCATCAATCCTACCGGTTAGACCACTAATATGTTGGTGGACAATCTTAAAACCCTTGATCGCTGAGATGTCACTTAACTTCTGCGATAGAAATAGGCCATTGTCGACCAGGCTGTTCTCATTTTCGTTAGCAGAATGATTCTGACAAGTGCACAAACTACAGGATTTGCTAAGGCCCAAAGCATGTAAGATGGATCGACTTTAGACAAACCGAGCAGTCCGCAGAAGATTGGTTTTTCTTGATAATCTTTCTACATATGCCACGGACATTCCTCGCAGCAGACTCAGGATTAAGCTCAAGATCGCCAGCTAAGCAGATTAGGCAAAGAGCAACACCAGACTGCTTGCAAAGCTCGAGTATCTTTGGAATAGAACATGGCCGTCGTTGAGATGGGCGAGTGAACTCGGAGCGAAGTGTTCTTCTACCTTCTACCGAAGGAGTTGCGGACAGTCTAGTCCCCAAATAGAATCGTATTGATGCAGATTCCACGGAGTACTGTTTAAACCGGCTAAACAACAAGACTAGAAGTAAAACGCCGCTTAACCTACAGAGCGACCGACATGCGTGACCGACCTTCATGACTTTTGACGGAAAGGCTAAGTAGTAATTTTAGAGAAAAATAATTTGAAAACAGCCCAAGATAGCCTCATATGTACACCCCCAAAATAGCAATCATCTTCGATCACATTTAAGAGCCATAATGGTTCTTGATCACCGTAGATTAATTAGGCCTGGAAAAAAAATCAGGCCGAATTTTTTGTGTTCGACAAGTTTACTTTACAAAATCTTGCCAACAAATCTGGGTGCGTGTAAACCAACCTTTTATACCATTTAAACATCACATCTGAGGTGAAACAGTACTATGAGGCACTGTTTTTATCATACAGACCTCGGACAGAATGCAGTATTTCACAATTTTGCAATCCAAAGTGCACTCACTCAATATTCAGGACGATCGATCGAAGCACGCGTGGGCTTTTAGCTAAACAGTTAAAAAAAAAATTCCAAAATCAGCCGGTTCCCACTTTTGCAGAGCGAGCTGTGGTCGTGTTTGGATGAACATTAACATAGAATAACAAAGAATTTCTTATTTTCATTTAATGGTTTTATCGATGTGTACACTTCAAAAGCGTTTGATACGCGCGGCATTTTGAGTACCCCTGCAAGCGATGTTCACTGAACGACTGAAAACAAACGGCACAGCGATTAAAATTACAAGAGAGACTACTAACAATCAATAAAAGAAATATAATTCCGGTGAAACATATACAGAGACAACAATTTTCATTCGCGGCGACAAGTATTAAAGCGTCTCTAAAAATCCTGAGTCTTCAAGCTTAAAGCTTAAGTTCATGTTTTAGACCGGCTTCCCGGCGTTTGCTTCTTTTCAAAGATCAACTCGAGGCAAGAAAATCGCTTAAAGCTGTCTTATACAGCCAGAATTATACCTAAATATTCTTTGGACCGTTTTCTTTTTATTTGCGGTGAGAAAATGCCTAAAGGCTTTTTTAAGTTCTGTAAGCTTATATCAAAACTGATACTCGGTCAGATCGTTATCTCAAATCTTACAAACGTGCATAAACTAAATAGCCGCATAAACTACGCTCGACTTCATTAAATTAGATATAACAAACAAACATCAAATAAAATACTGACTCAGGCTTACCATTCAAGATGCAGTCCTGAAAGGTATCAAGTAAGGCCAGTACCGCTTCAGACTTTGCAACCCTCTTATGCATCAAGCAAGGTGAAAAACGAAAACGATGCCATCCGAAATCGGATTTCCCACTTTGACAAGTGACGTATTTCTCAACCAAAAACCCAATAAACAAACTAGCCATAAATAACAGAAGACTCCTGATAACAGCTGAATTTCATTTTGTACATCCAGTGGAAAAAAACAGTTAAAAACATCACAAGTTGACGCAAAACTCTGTCAGCTTCCGCTGTCAAAGTAAACAAGATTCAAGATGCCGCATAAATTTTCCGCATGAACTCACCTATCAAATTTTGACCAATCAGCGCATAAAAATTGGACGAAGAGTGTGACCAACGCGTGATCATGGTGAGCAAAGTCAAAAGCAACTCTCTTCCCTGGCTGTAATAGCTGGCTGAATTTTCGCGTCCGAGATCAGTTTGAAATCAAAATTTTAATTGCGCGGCAGAAATACACGACATATTTCATCTGAATTTAAAAAAAATTAAACTTGAGCCTGCGATCATTTGAAAACTAGTAACTTGTCAGCGGATAACTTCAAAAAATACTTGACCTAGATGGGTCGACACCTGAGCCCGAAATACGGTCAAGTGATACTGGTCAGCGGATACCCTGTTTTGACAGCTGTCAGTTGATCACAACATTGATGTCCAATATGTCTGCATTATCAGTTTTCCTGTGCTCTCAAACTAGCTAGAAAGTATGAGATTGAACATTGATCGTGATCTAGTAAAACAATTAACTGGTCAGCGGACAGCTTCCAAATAAATCACGTCACCTCGATGAGTTGAAACATGAACCTGCAATATGGTCATGTGATACTGGTCAGTGGCTATCCTGTTTTGACAGCTGTCAAGTGACCATTTTGTGAATGTCCAATATACAAGATGTGGACTTGCCAAGACACGCCTGAGACACCCGTCCCTCCCTTTTGATAGTCTCCCCTACCCCACCCTTACAATCTGTAGACGCGTACATACGTACGCTCGGTCAATCACGTGACAACCAAACAAAAAGAGGTTCACCATATTCTGTGAGTATGGGGCTCTACGGAGCCCCGCCATAACACCTCAGTAATAACCACAATGTAATTGAAAATCTAAAAAAATCAGGAAACATTGTCAGAGAGCCGACTCTTGTTGATAAAATTGTCCGTAAAATCTAATCTCTTAGTTTGAAAGGTTTTTTACTTGTGTAGATTGAAAGAATTCTGTCTCCTTAAATAATATGTAAGCCTGCTGCACGGTTTTGGTAACAAACTGTGGAAACTTATTAGAAGGGTTCTAAACAACTGATTGGAACAGTTCTTGATTGGTCAGTTGTTCGTGATGGGCCCTCACGGAGTCGACATCAGCAAGACTCAAATTGTTGTCAAAGAGGTAACATGCGAATGGTAGCATCATGGGATTAGGAAATGTTTACTGGTAAATATGGTTAATTTAGACTACCTATCAACCAGCTATAAATCGACAAAATTACACTAGCCCGATAACAGACCTGCCAACTCTCACGATCTGCCGCGAGTCTCACTTTTAACTTTTCTCACGACCTCATGACAACTCCCAATCTCACGGTTTTGGGGGGGAAATATCATTCTGAAATGAAATGTTAATGTTGTTTCTTTTCCAACTAGGACCCCAGATGAAAACAAGAGTAAGTGACATGATGTCTTACAATGCTGACCTGTCTGGCTTTTGAAGGATTCTCCAGAAGTTCGGTGATGACTTTGTTCCCTTTTGCTATCTGCTTGGGTGTTTCATTATGCTGCAAAGTCAGTAATTAGAAAAATTTTGTTAAAGGCTGACACAACTGGTACCACATGGGTTACAAGTGCAAACTGATGCACAGTGCTGCATTATCCTACAACTTGAGCCTAGGCCAAAAATAATTGTAGTCAACACTTTTACACATTTTACTCAAAACATTTTTTAACGAAATTATATAATGTATCATATTTATTCAAATAAACTCCATCCAAGATTTAATAATCAGAAGAATTCGGCGTTTATTAAAGGACAACAAGAAAAAACTCGGTTTAACTTGGTAATCTACACAATGAAGTCAAGACAACTTCGATTCTATCTCAGCAAAAAAGAGAGACATTGGAACTTTAAAAATTGTCTGTTTTACTTCTTTGGAATATTCTACGGGTTTTACAGCATCTTTAATCATTTCATTTTAAATTTCCATTTTCCGAGGGATCCAAATTTTCTGCGCACTTTATGGTGGTCAAGAGCCCAGTCTGGGGACAACGGCTAATATTTCTTGTGATAGTACCGATGATGATGGATGATGTTCAAATTATTTTTCTCTGTCTAAGCGCAACATAACTCTACCTTTCGCGGGTTAAAATGAACTCAACAATTGGCCTACTCCCAATTTATGGGTCTTCATAGATCAGTTGGTAGAGCACTGTAGCACTACTGACAGAGGCTATGGATTCGCCTTAAAGGGGCGCTGATCTTGGCTAATGTCCAAGAATTTAATTGTATATCACAACTGCAATGATTTCCTTCATGTAAATAGCACTAACCAATTAAGTAATGTAACAAACGATATAATTTTGATTCATAGGTTTTAGATCTCGGTATTTGTGACTATTTTTCTTAGCCTACAATTTCCAATTCTATGTATTGAGTACCCAACCGTGCCCTCAATAAGTAGGAGGCATTCATCCCCAGCTCAGCTACATATCAGGCCCAGTTTATGATCCAAAACTTCTGAGTGAAACACGTATGATCTATAAGAGTGTGACATAGAGAATAGAGAGCTTTCATCGCACATATACGATGTCATTCAATTTCTCAAATGGTGGTGATCTTTTTCTGGAGCTGAATTCTAAATGATTGTATTGTAAGGTTAAAAAAAGAATTAGGAAATGGTTACCTTGTGTTCACGTCCACAACATAATGTGAAATAAAGCAGTTTGTAAAAAAAAAATGTACACAAAAGGGTGATGAACGTGAAAAACTTGCTTTTGGTGATCTAAACCTATTGCTTTTTTCGCGGTTCTCGTTGCTGTCGCCATTGCCGGTGCACAATACATTGAGGCTGGATTCTTACTCTGTTTTCTAGCTCCAGTGAAGAAACAGCACCATAACACAACAACAGAGCAACAGAATTTTGGCACTCCCGCGCCACGGCCAAGTGAAGAGGAGTATTTTTATCCTACAATAAAGGAAAGATATATTCTTAGAATTATTTACACATATTTCTACAACATAAATACATGTAAAATAATGTCTTTAAAGATCCATGTTTGCTGTCAGTTTTACACTTGATACCATATACGTCTGGTGCAAATTATTGCAATAGCGACAATAAATAGCACTACCTAGAAATGTGTAGTGCTTCTGATTGGTTCAATTAAATTTAGTTCCCACGCGGCACAACCAATCAGAAGCACTACCCAGATCTGGGTAGTGACGCGTCATCAGAATGGAATTTCTGCGCTCCTTTCGCTGACGTCATTTGGCAGGAAAACCAATGGTTAACGTCGCCAAATGTCGGCTGTTTTCTCTGGCTTGCTTAGGCCCTGTTTTACAGAAAAAACCTGTCTCAACCGAGTCACTGAACCCTAGAAAGCGATTATATGAGGAAAAAGTTGACTCCTTTGCCCAAGCCAACATCACTTAGTGCAGGCTTTGATTGTCAAAACAGCACTTGAGGATGCTCTGATTGTCTTGCCTTGACCAAAGTTGACCCAGCTAGGTAAGCTAAAGTGTTTATATGTGACCCACCACAGGATTTTAAAGCTAAAGGTATTCAAAAGCATGCTCACAACATGCTTCCGCTGCATGCTAAGTGTGTTTAGATACTGGTCGAGCACGTATTAAATTCCTAAAACAAAGAAGGACAAACTTGGCTTTGTTTATATCGAGGAGAGTTGGCCCAGCTAACTACACTGTGCCTGAGAATACAAATGATTTGGATGTAGCAGCATGCAAAGAAAGTAATGTCCAGTAGCCCGGGGCAAGTGGTTTTTGCTATCAGGCTGGTATATTCTGTTCAATTTTTTTGCTGGTCAGTTGAAATAAGTTTAAGGCCAAGGGTTTTGACTCAGTCCCTTTGCATAAAATGAACCGATTTGAAGCATAAATAACTGAGGGGGACATGGGGGTTTACGGTATTGCGGTATTGGGCTTTTTTTCATGCGGTGTTTCGGTAATTTTAATTTTAACGTGCGGTATTGTGGTATCATCTAGCTCTGCGGTATGCGGTTTTTCATCATTTTGGCTGACGGTATTCGGTGAAATAAGATTGTTCACGGTATTACGGTACCGTTTATTTGCGCTTTCCTTTCGATACAATACGCAAAACAAAACACAGTAAGACATAAAGGTCAATAAAAGTTAATATTTAGAAGTCTTGAGACATAACGGTAAATGATTACACCATTTGTGGGTCATTTTGTGACAGTTAATGGTCGATAATATACAATGTGATTGTTGTTGCATCCAGTGATAATGAGTAGTCTCAAGCTACCTTACCAGGCCTCTCGATCTGTGTACCTGTGCCGGTAATTCGAGGTCTTAAACGTTTTCTCACAATGTCTGAAGTCGCTGAGGTTGAAGACGGCGTGGTCATCATTGACTGTGTGGCAATTTTTTATGAAGAGGGCGAAGGAGGCGAACATTATCGCAACAAGAATAAGTTTAGATGTTGGGTTTCGAGAATTGAAAAACGCCTTGTAAAGTTAAAAGAGAAAATTTGGTAAGGTTGCCTCTTAACAGCGCGGCGTCATCCTCAGAGACCCAGGGGCAGATAAAGGGGGCGAGGGAAAGTCTAAACGGGCGGAAAAATGTATATGGAACGAAGAAAAGTAAGGAACGGTGAGAAGAGCCCCTGGGACAATGTCTTACCAGACCAGTTCCAAACGGTCGCCGCCGTTCTGGCTTCTGATTGGTGCCAGAAAACTCGTGTTTTTCTGGCACCAATCAGAACTGGAACTGGTAACTGGTCTGGTAAGACATTCCGCCCGTTTAGACTTTCCCTCGTCCCCCTGGGTCTCCGAGGATGGCGCGGCGTGTGATCTGACCCCTGAGAGACTGACGTGCTAGACTAGACTCACTTTATATCAAAACTCGCACTAGACGTGCGTGGAAAGGGTTTTGGTTGGTTTGTTTTTCGCGCTTTCAAGAGTTATTTTTATGGGAGTTAATTAGCTGTCGGGTCGAAATACCAAAAGGCTGAACGAATGTAGTTTACTTTTCAGTGAAAATTTGCGGAAAATTGCGAACTACCAAAATATTAAAAAAAAACATGGACATCTGGTGCATAAATGCTTGAGATAATTAAACGCGCTCGATGGAAGCAACCATAAGTATGCGCAACCGATTATAAATGTGATTAAAATATGCGGTATCGGTATTTAGACGATTTTCGACGCGGTATTTCGGTATTTGCCATTTTTTCTTACGGCATTGCGGTATTGGGTACCCCCCAATGTCCCCCTCATAACTATTGCCATTTCACTGTCCTCTTACAGACAGTTTTCAAGATCTGAATGTGTTGCACACAAATCAGAAAAACACTCAGAATAATAGGCAACACAGGCAAAAACAGAGTGGTGAACCCGTCTTTTCATTGCATTCTTTTTTGCATGTCTTATACATGATTATCAATTATTTTTGTAGTTCTTGCTAAATAATAAAAAAGAAATTACAAGCATTTGACAGTTTTCAAGTTTTGAACATTCTCCATGCAACTCATGCAATTAACAACTCTAAGTATAACAGGCAAGCTGGGCAAAACCACAGCCAGTGACCCCATCATCATCGCTTCTTCAATGTCCTATACATGACTTTTAATTGTGCCAAGTTTGAAAAACTTCTGGATAGTACATTATTATCCATTTGAAGTGAATTACCTTAAAGTTTCTGATCGAGCGAGGTAGAAGGAGGAGTCAACACAACAGGGTAAGTACACTTTAATGCTTGGGGAGAAGGGGTGTGGATTTAATTGACACCTCAGACTTCAATCCACACCATTCCCCCATCCCACTACCCCCATTGCCCCATGCAGAATTTAAAAACCTGTACCTTATTTTGCTTGCCAATGATCCCTTGATTCTTAGCAAAAGCTTCTGACGATAATAGCAACTGTAACACACCATAGTGCCCCTTGTCAGCTGCAACATGAATGGCTGTGTTGTCAACCTGAACGAAAAAGGGACCAAAACTTATTTAAACGTACAATTTAACAGCCTTGTATATTCAAGGGAAATGGCAATCCATGGCCCATCCCAATGGCAAAAGCAGAATGAAGATAGAAATGATGACTATCACTTTTTTTTATAAAAAATATTATCATTCCCGGATAGTAATAGACCTAAGGACTAATCATGACACTTAATAAAAAGTATTGGCTTAAAAAAAACATTTTTGAAGAGCTAAAAAACATTAAACCTACTGAGTCAGCTTTGGTTATGACAGCCTCTTTCTCAATAAGCCATTTAACTGTCTGTTGATTTCCTTTCTCAGCTGCCAGCTTTAATGGAGTATGCCCATACTACAAGAAAGACAAGACAAAAATACAATAAAAATTTTCATGAAACACTCAGTTCCTGTGGAAATAAAAAAAATAATTAATGTTTTTACATTTTACAGTCTTATTTTTATGCTCAGAGTTTTATCCTCTGCAATAGAACCTGCAGTGAGATTTCTTCGGACTTTACCGACTGGTTGTTTACAGCAGGATGTTGTTAATGAAAATTCAAATTTTTAAATAAGTTCAGGGGGTCTCCTTATTTGTTTAGGAGCAGGAGCAACTTGTATACATGTTATAGTTCAAAATTAATTTCAGGCTAAGATTTTTTTACCGTCATGGTTGTTTCTCTACTTTCTTTGTCTCATACTTTAACTTATTATTAATGAATTCATAATTAATTCTTTATATTAATTAATTTCTTAAGTTTATCATTTCATCAATTATCTACGCAACTTTGATTCTGGTGCAAATAACCCATACAGAGAATCACCTGTGATCCTCACAGAGGGAGAAAAATCAGACAAAAAAACTCCCAGTTAAATTATCAGCCCCAATTTATAGGACAGGGATGCTTGGTAAAAAAAAAAAAAAACCTGAGTGACTTGAGATAGAATGCTACAATTTCTTGAAACACTTCTAGAAAACACAAGAGACTCAACTGTGTAGTATGGACACATGTTGTAGTTAATTCTTTATTTCACTTATTTTTTATTTTTCCAGTGTTTTGGGGTATGGTAAATTATGTATGCTAATGAATTTAAAACAAGAGGGAAAGGAAAAACAAAAAGTTACTGAAGTAATAAATTAACTGCAACACACACATATCTCCCCACTCTTCCCTTCAATGTTGGTTTGACAGGTTTGCTTGGACCTCATTAACTTGTCAACATAAACATTGAAGAACATTGAAGCATTTCAGCAATTATTATTATGACCAGGGTTGTAGATTTCTCCTTTCAGATATATTTTTCAATAATTATACTTGTGAAATGAAGAGAGAATTACATAATTTCATATCATGAGTCATCCAGGGCTTAAAATATTCTGGCACACATCCCTTAAATTAAATTATTCATGTGCCTTTCCAGCTAGGGGTCATTTAAAAGAGATTTTTTACAACCTTACAAGCAGGCATGAAAGTGAAGTAGGAAAAAATAAAAGGTAATGAAGTAATTTATAGCACTTCCAAGATGAAAAAGGGGTTGTAATGAAAAATGATAAATGTATATCATACATTAATGTCCATTGATCCCACACATACATGTACAGATGTAAGTAAAGGCAAATGTTAACTTTAATTATTTTCACTTTATAAACTGACCTCATCACATGCATTGACATTAACGTCTTTTTGTGACAAAAGCAATTGAATTATTCCATTTTTATCTTGCTCTACTGCCATGTGAAGAGCAGTGAATTTGTGGGGCTGTGGAGCAAAAAAACAACATCATTAAATCTAAAGGGCCTGTGACATGCTTTTGAGCATTTGGCAGCCATTTGATTGCTGGTAAAAGTCTCTTGGTTTTTGGTGAAGAAATCCTTTTCCATTGACCTTGTGAGGGAGAAAGTTTTAATAATCAGCATTGACAACATAACCTATTTGGTCAATTGTTTGTGCACTGTTTTTTTGATAACACAAACATCAGCAACAAATGTACAGTGCGAGTACTGTGACCGGGGCCACCGTAGACAAAGTTGACCGATCAGATCACAGGTAAATAACAATACATTCCAAGAAAATTGGTAATGGGCCAATCAGCAGCTCGTAAGAAAACAATAATTTACTAAAAGCACAAAATTTAAATAATGATAGCAAACGTTTTTCAAGAAAGCATAATGTTTCACCAGACAATATTTTTCTACACGAAACTTTACATTTTAATAATGCCCGGGAGACATATGTCTGACACAAGCTGTTATTTTGTCATCTACCAGCAATTTCTTTGCGACCATTGCCACATTTTGCAATAACACGCACCCTCAAGTCAAAAATATACCTTGTGTTTTCATTTTCTCCCTCTGTCGACACTCTAACTGACCTCTCAGGAAACATAGGCTTTTTTCCAGCCGGTTCAAAAGGTCACGTCTGTAGGTTGTAATTGGTTGATTTTGATCCATGTTGTTTATTTTGTTTTGTGGTAATTATGATCATTGACAAGTAATTTTCTCAGACTGTATTGCTATTTTCCTGTCATCCAATTGGTTGACTTTTTCTAGGTGGCCCCAGTTATAGAAGTCACACTGTAATATATTGAGGTCATTAAGAGGAAGTACAAGAGGCTTGTGGGTGTTGCTCCAAACAGATTAAATGTGGAATCACTGTGGCGATTTGGCATTCATTTTTTGGTCTAATAACAATCGTGAGTCAATAATCTACAGTGTATCTTTACTTGACATTATTTTTAAAAATGGTAAATGTATAAAGTGAGTGGAAATTTGGTTCCTTGATCAGCTGTGGACTTTTAGATTTAATTAAATGGCTGATCTCAGACATGACTCCAGATCACCTGCAAAAATTTAATCCTTTGAGCCCCAATATCAACATATGTGTAATCTTCTCACTTTTCAATCTCCATATATAATTATTTCTTATTATAATGCTTTAGGACATACAGGGTTATATATTTCGTCACTATGGGGGTGGTGCCACTTTAAAATAATATACTCTGGACAGCACTCCAGCCCTGCTAATGCAAAAATAAAAACATCTTTTAGGTCCAAGTAAGGTGATGAAGAGGAGGAACAGGTTGATTATCACTGATTAAATGCAAAAGAAAAGAAATCTTACTTCACTGGTTGCGTTCACATTGACTCCATTTTTAAACAGTAATTTTATGATACTCTCTGCACCATTTTTTACTGCTAAATGCAATACTGTGAGTGTTCCCTACGAGATAAAAATAACAACAAAAAAGTAATGACAGTTTTGAACCTTTTTAAATTTTAAAATGTTATTTGAAAGCTTGACTTATCTCTGAAAACGTACTTTTATTTTAAATTAGAAAAACAAATCCCTAATAAGTTGAATTGCTTAAAGTGAAAAAGGTACATTTACAATCCCGTTTAGTTTCCATTGATTGTTAACAAATGAAAAAGCACTCGAGAATTTGAGCCAACCCTGAGATATTCTTGTGATCTGACTACACTTTAGATTAACCCTTGGACATACATGCAAATTCATACCCCCCCCCCCACTGGCCTATGGCTGACAGAAGGATTAATTTTTAGAAATGAAAGCTGATAATGAACTTGCAGTGATTGACTAATTATTAGTCTACCGGTATACTTTAAGTCTCACAAAAAATGAAAATATGTTTTTAAAAAAAAAACAGAACAAAACATTAAACAAAGCAAAACTAAGAAAACAAGAACAAAACGACCAAAACAAAAAGAAAGGAAAAAATTTTCCTCCAGCAGGAGTTGAGCCCCAGACCATTAACATGTAAGGTCAACGCACTATCTATTGCACCACGACAACAAGTGTTAAGCATTGATGTTAAATTAATTATCTTTAATGTTTTTGCCCATGAAATTCTGCCAGCGGACGCTCTTTGAAGCTGGTAGAGCTTTATTTATGAAGATATATTCGAGGAAAATAAGCTGGATTTTGACGGTAAAAGCCATACTTTAACTCATTTTGTTGCATTTGAAGAACATGTGGCCAACAAATTAAAGCGATATCAATTAAGTGTCTCACAAAACCTTTGTCTTGCTGACAGCGTTGTACAGCTTGTAATTCTCTGCATTTACATGCGGAGAATCAAGTAAGATTCAGCAACAGTAAACATTTCTGTTTTTATTCAACAAAGAAACATTTCAGTTCAGAATGACATTTCCCTAAAAGCAATGGGATTGGGAGTCCTGTTGTAAGAAAAGTTAAAAAATTGTGAGACTAATGGCAGAATCATGAGCTTGGACCAGCTTGGGGAGTTGAAAAGCAATCTCTTCGTCATGTTTATCGCCTGGATGAGTCAAAAAGCTTTAATTAAAAGTTCATAAACTTCTGTCTCCAAGTTGGCCATAGCGCTAATAATAAAACATTCAAAGTCCACTTGAAGACAACTTATAATTATCGTCCTGTGAAAGCTACAAAATTATACAATCAAAAGCTCTGGGCACAATGCACGTTCAGAAAGCTTCCTCGAACACAGAATTGGGACAATCAATCTATGGCAGTTGTCATTTGGTATATTGGACGTTCTATATTGCGAGCCAACCCATTACAAAAGTGTTGACTCTACACTTGAGTGACACTTTTGAACAGTGGCCCATAAGAGACATCTCTATATATTTTTCATTAATTTCCACTTAATAATTATTTTGTGATTTGACTTACTCTTGATCAAAGTTAATAGTTAGTAATACAAACTTAAGTAAGTTATAACTCTCGATCCCAAACTTCTAACTCGTAATCGCAACGTATAACCCTCGATCGCAACTTATAATCTGCAATTACCACTAATAACTCATAATTGCAACTTACAACTCACGATCGCCACTTATAACTCGCAATTGCTACTTATGACTCACAATTGCTACTTATGACTCACGATCGCTATTTATAACTCACGATCACTACTTACAACTTGCAATTGCTACTTATATCTCACGATTCCCTTTTATAACTGGGGTTTCATTAAGGTTTTGAACAGGAGGGCAGGTTTGACAGCCGGGCAAAGGCCTATTGAGCCTTGCATCCCTAGCATGCTCCCCTGGAAAATTTTGAAATTTTACAGTTGCAGAGATGTTTTCCTGCATTCTGAAGCTGCAGACAATGTCTTTAAACTTCCAAAAAAAGATAACTTTGTAGACAATTTAATCATGATTAATCATGATTAATCATATCCAACACACAAATTAGTTCATAAACTTATTGATTTTAGATGGTCTTTTATGGAGTACAGTTCTATTCACAATGCATTATGGGGCGATTCTTGTTTTTAGCACGTAGCAAAAGAGGGGATTTCATGCCTCATGTGATTAAGTGGAAATTTGGGGGTAAAGTATGTATGCGCGATCGCAAGTGGTAAGTCGCCATCACAAATTATAAGTGGTGATCGAGAGCTACAACTGACGATCACCAGTTACAAAAGGTGATTGCGAGTCGTAAGTAGCAATCAGAAGTCATGAGTACGGATCGTGAGCTATAAGTGGCAATCTCAAGTTGTAAGTTGTGATTACGAGTTATAAGTGGTGATCACGAGATATCAGTTGTGATCGATCGCAAGTTAGAAGTTGCAATTAAGAGCTATAATTTACTATCATGACATTCAAGTGGAAATCGAGAGATATAAGTTTGTATTGCTATTTATTCACTTTGATCGAGAGTATTGGGGGTTTTCACCGTCATGCAATCAAAAATAAAATTGCAAACCATTCAATACAGAAAGTCCAGAATCTAGGAAATAAAAGAAGATAAATGTGCAAAAGCTAAGGCCTTGCCAAGAATCAGGTGTGTGCGATATTTCATATGCGAGATATTTGGAAAACCCCTGTATGGAGACACCATGTTTGTGTCCCTTTGAGGGGCAACATATACGGCTGCCGGAAACCAACAGAAACATCTCAGTGTTTTTTAGTTTTCCTACTAATGCGTGAATTAACTGCTTGAAAAACTCATAAAGGATGAAAGTGATATTTATTCCGAGACAAGGAATATTTAGATAGCAAAATCTTCCAGAATTGGTAATGTTTTTAACCCACATAAGAGACTTCCCGGCTGCCAGCTATATGCCGCGTGACGCAAAAGCCTAGAAATTCAAAAGTCCTCTGTCGCAAAATGAAGAACCCTTTCAAACCAAAACTTTGTTTAAATAAAGGTGTTTAGGTGCTGTTATACCTCATGAAACTCAGAAGAATCGATAGTTTCTTAGTTTGAATTTTGGTGACATCATGTGAAAACTTAGAATAAGTCAAATCGCAAATTATTAAGTGAAAATGAAAAGTGTCTAAATGTCCCTTATAAGCCACCATATATTTGAATATGGCAGTGCCCACAATAACTCGTTCCTACACTACGTGTAATCCACGTCTTAAAAATGGAATGCTCCACTACAGTATGTTGCCCAGTATCCGGACGGTACCAGTATCCGGACACTTGAAACAAAAACTCAATTTTTGAGGCGCCCTTTTCAGTTCTCGGTAAATGAAGGATTTCGAATGAAAGCTGAACATTTCAGCTTTAAGATGAAAGTTTTGGCAATTTGAAAGCTTGCGAAACAGTCACAGAAGATGCCGTTCTGTTCACGTGAGCAAACTTTTCATGGCTAATATTTATGCTGTTTACTGCAAAGTAAAATTAGTGCTGCTCAGAAAAGGGAGGGTAATGTGTGATATTTTCAAAGAAACTGTTTTATTTTTAAAGTGAAGATACTTAAGGAAGTCAGGTTTTCAGAAAGTTTATTAATTCTTCTTGAAATTCGATTTGTTTGGAATAACGGAGGCCAGAAACATTCACTAAGTTTTGATGTCATGTGCCCAGTATCCGGACAGTTTTTCTTTGCTGTACAGAATCGATGAATTAGCTGTGTAAATTATCCGGATAAGATTTATTTCATATCAGTAACTATAATTAAAGCTTAGGAAAATTTATATGATATAGTCGGAAAATGTAATTCTACTCAACTCCATATGGAAATTTTCTTCACTCATTCAGAGGCGAGTTGATTTCGTGTGCACGGCTTGTTTCGCGTGACTGCATTTTCTATATATAACTGAAAGCGTCTGAGTTGAACCTGGAATTCTCATACTTTCCCCAGTTGTGACTGCTAGAATGGGGTTGCAACGGTCTGAAAAATGTCACAAAGGGATTGAGAGATTTGAAAGAAGGAGCAATTAGTGTTTGAAAAGCAGGCTTATTGTAGGGACTGATCATGAGCATGAAGAAATCAACACTGCAGGTCAGACTAAATAGGAGAGTGACCTTTGACCGTCGGGTTGAGGTTCCTTCCCCAAGCTTTTTTTTAAAAATAAAAAATGAAGAAAGAAAGTCGCTTGCAGATAGGCTAATTGAGCTTGCAAACTGCGGTTTCGGCATGTCCACAGATGCCTTCCTTAAATCAGTGAAAAAATTCCTAGACAAGGAAGTAAGAATTATAACATTTTTAAAACAGCCGCTCGCATTTCCTGCCATACCCCAGTCATTTGTTATGTTTTATTTCATGATGCTAGGTTATATTTTTGGAATCGATTGCCAGACTACTTTGCAAGTGCAAGAGAAGCTTATAAGTCGCTTGCCTATCGAAATTTATGTACAATTACGTTGTTATTGTTGTGTCCGGATACTGGGCCAGCTGTCCGGATACTGGGCAACATAGGAGCTCTGCAAAAATATTAATTCCGCCATGGAAACAAAGGCAAAAAAGTTAAACTGTCTTTCGCCATATTAAGGACTAGACAGATTTTCTCTGGGCCAAATTTCAGAGCTCCTGCGATTAACAAAGGAAAGTTATTGAAGGCTTAAACTGAGGTGTCCGGATACTGGGCAACATACTGTACGTCATGGCTCTTTTTTAAGCTAATATTATTCCATGACATGTGATGCAAATTAGTGGTCGGGTGCGTAACGTAGATTCAAATATAACATACGACACTTAATTTAACGTGGAGTTTACGCTTAGCTTAATCAGCTAGTTTACAAAATATCGTCTTGGTTTCCATTTTTTCTCCAAAATGCCCCTTCACGTTACACTTTTTCTTAACCCTTGAAACGAAGAAATATTCTTACCTGAGTTGTTGTTATTTTTCGCGTCAAAAAATTAGACTTTCCTCCACCAAGGTTAAGATTTCTTGTCTCCAAAAGAATTCTCTTTACTTGATCTTCATTATCGTCCCGTATCCCTTGCAGAAAATCCTTCCAAAGCTTCTCCTCTCGTTGACTCATTTTTCAAGAACAACAGCTTCAACGATTTTTTGCTATGAATGCAAACAAATCAACATTTGCTCAATTCCAAACGTTCATGACAAAACATGAAGTGAGGGCCGCTAATTGGTGATAGGTTCTTTCCACTCAAATTTTAGGAAGTCATGTTTTTTGTTCGTTTTATACCAAACGCTGCCCGCAGACGCTGCCGCCATGTTTGTGTCGTGTGATGTACTGTGACGGAGTTATGCACTTATCAATTGATATTAACCCCGACCCCCCCGCCCCCCCTACCCCGGGCCTATGTGGGGCAATGTGGGGGATTTTTATGGTATTTGAAGGCATGGTTAGCCCGTGGGGGTGGGGGATTTCTCAGGATTAGCTTAGCATATTCATGGCCGTCCATGGAAGTCGGGGAGCGAGGTGGGGATTTGACTCGTGCCTAGTTTCCTCACGGTAATTTCTTCACGTGATCTCTGGTATTTTGATGTATTGCTCGGCCGTAAGTTTCCTAATTGTTTTTCCTTTCATTTCTTCACTGAGACTAATCCTTTGCGATTTTGCCTTGAGCTTTCATGGTTCGTTGACTGGAAATTGTTATTGTTATTCAAAACTTCTCAAACAATGCAGATACAAACTCCTCTACTTATTATAAAAGGTGCTGTGTCACGGATATCTGGTTCATTTTGTTAATATTGCCAGTTACGTGGTCCCTATTCGCTTTTGAGCATTACGTTGGCAAAGAAATGAAGAAATCAAAGCTTCGTTTTAAACAGATGTTTCTCCCAAGCATATCAAGCGTTACGGACGAAAACAATGAACTTTGAAAAACTGTTAGGTTAACAAGTTTTCAAAAACCAAAATTTCAATCCGTTTTAATCTTCTTCATGTTTTCCCATCTGTACCTTCTTTTGTATTTGCTGAGTCATTTATACCATCTTTTAATGTCTTAAGCGGTTATTTTTGTTTCACTCAATTTGGTGGCAGTTCCTACAGCCTACATTTTGGTAAATTTCATGACACAGCTCGTTTAACGTCTAGTGTTAAACCCATGTGGTTTCTGAAGTTCTATATTTCCTCATTCTTTAAGCCAAAATATAAAATATAGCTCCTAGGAACTATTTTATGCAGTCTATTTATAACATCAGCTTGTGAAGGTTAAGGTATGTTGGCTGCTATTTTCAATTAAACTTATCATTGCAGATATTACTTTCAATGGAGATGGTACGGATTTCCTTTTAATATAACGTTATAGCAATGTGCTACTCCATCATCCATTTTGTACCCTGACTTTTTTATAAGTGGGTAGGGGTCGTTATGTTTACTTATTGTCAAATATTTGTTGTATTTATAGCTTGGTCTGTTATCATATTTGCCTTTTTGATGTAGTAAATTTGTCAATATTAAGAAGTTGAAAATTCGAACGAAATATTAATAAAGTCAGTCAGGGAATTAAAAAGGTTTCCCCACCTGGGTGGGGGTTTTAGCAGGCAATATGCCCCAGTAGGGTGGGAGTTTGCTAAGATTTGTAATGATGTCAAGTCAAATCCCCACCTTGGCCCGGGGTGGGGGGGGTCGGGGTTAAAATAATCAATTGATAAGTGCATTACCAGTCCACCACATTTGTGCAAGGACACATTCTTTCACCACTTGACATTTTGTAAACATTGATACTCCTACAGTTCATCGTCAATACGACCAGCACTTAAATAAAACTTTATCACTCGTATACATGTATATATGCAGCCAAGTTACTGATGCAACTATTGCTCTAGCGAAAGAGGAAAAACCGATAAAAACCCTTTTTCTCCGGTTGACTGATATAGGGCATGATAGGGGAATTTTGGGGGGAATTGCATGACTGTGATATTCAAATTCCATTTAATTTCATAAGTACGAAAGTTTGTTTAACACACTGATCTACGTAAGCAAATTTGTTGTAGCCATACAATACGCCTATGACCTGAATGTATTTGAGAAAATGTATCTGAAAACCAGCGAAGACTGTGATTATACGGCCATACCGGACAGCGTTTCGTGTCGACCATGAGAGCGCGGACAGTTCAGTTTCACACTTTCCAGTATGTGACTCTTCCCCACCTGCTAACTGCAGAGATCAGCGCTGAAGGGCTCAGCCTGGCCGGGGAAACAAGAGGTAGTCTGGGGAGGTGAAAGGGTTGCTTCGCTCGTAGATTCTTGCCGATATTTTTCCTAATAGGTCCCCCCCTTTTTTTTCTTTTTCCCCGTCAGCGGAGCCTGGTCCCAGGCTAGGCTCGGCTACGCTCCGTTACATAAATCCTATCCAGACGAACAGTCTGAATCCTACTAAAATCACCGTTCTTATGTGCGAACGGAAGCCCTAGTTTTGCGGGCGCAAAGTATCATAGTATGAGCAAAGCCTAAAAAACACTGGTAGTATAAAAAAGATATATATATGCTCGGAGAAACCCAGCAATTCGTTGTACATTGTTGTACCCAACTGTTTGCATGCGTTTCAAGTGCGGTCCAGGTGCCGGGAAGGGGGGCGGGGGGAGGGGGACTTGACCAAAATATTTGGGTAGAGGTGAGCCGCTGAGAGTTTGAAACCCTGACACTGTTTAGGATTAAAAAAATTCTTAAAATATATACCCTGTTTAGGACAAAAGTCTCAATTTCATTATATATAAAATATCAGCAAGCCCACAGCAACAAACCAATGAGTGGTGCCGGATCTCCCAGATGTAGACCTGGATTAGTACAATTAAACTTGTAGAAAAATATCGCGAAACGTCCCTAAGCGGCGATGAGTGAGGAGAAACGTCTACCTTCCGCAGGCTACTTCAGGGGCTTAAAGAAAAAAGAAAATAAAGCTAAAAGTTCGTTACAAATAAGACTGAGTTTTATTTTCATTTTTCTTTTAGCCCCTGAAGAAGGTTTGTTTTCAAGCCGAAATATTGGGCAATTTGTTTAAATATATATTTTTTGTTTTGTTCTTTTGTGTACTTCCTCATCTCCTTGCCGTAAGGGTCAATTTTATTCAGTACCCTCTTTTGACTGAAAGCCGGACATGTAAACTATTTACGGCAGACTTGCGTCGTTGCAATTGCGCGTTTAGGACAGACTGGCGCAAAATTAGATACCCTGTTTAGGGCAGAGAGGACGAAATATACCCTGTTCAGTGGTACATCCCTGTATACTTAGGTCATTTAAGGGAATACCCACCCCGGGTTGTGTCCCAGGTCGGTAAGTGCAGTGCGTGTACAGATCGAGAGCCCAGGCTCCCAACCGCTCCCAACAGCCTCTGAGGGTCTCTAAGAAGCCAAATTACATATGTGAATTTATCGTAAGTTCTAAAATGCACATCACCAGACATGAAAGTGTACATACCTCAAAAACAGACCTCTCTGTGCTGTTTTCTCGTTTTTTTTCGTGCCCGGCTACGAGAGAAATTTTACAGATCCCAGTAGAAAAAGAGAGTCTTCCGCTGGATGCTGTTTGTGCTAATCGTGTTTGAAAAATCTAGGAAATCAGTTAAAGAAACCCCTCTTCCTAAGAAGGCACGGTAAAAGAAAAATTAAATTGTTCCTTCCCTCCTTTCACAACTCAGGTAGTCTCTCATGTCTGACTCATGTCTTCTCCTGTAATCTGTGATCGTGGAGAGGAGCTGGCCTGTCAAGAAGCTAAAGAAGCCAGAGAGAGAAAAGATTAATTCTTGTTCGCCTCGACAGATATATTAGATGTGTAACAAGAGGAACGAACTATCTACAAATAAGTCAATACGTTTAGGTGAAACGTGCATGTCTTCATTATCTTGGGTTAAATGGCTTGAGTATCGTGGAGACTGTCGGATTTCCCTTCTGCCGGAAGTGCGATTTGAAGGTCTCTGTGACCTTGAACATATTTAGACACACAATATTGAATCAAAAAATGAACACACCCAATACAAAACATAACAACAATTATACTGGGTAAACCGGAAATGTAGCTAACCAGTAGATTAAAAAGTATATGGTTGATTAGTAGCTATATATAAGTAGGTTTACTGCAATCAACATAGAATATGTCCTCTGCCGAGGTTAGTCTTAGGCTCGATTACTAGCCACTCTTCGGCGGGGAACTGAGTCACGTCCGCCCTCTTTCCTTGAAAAGACTCTATTCTCGTGGAGGCCGAGAGAGCGGCGGAAATCAAGTCTTCATGATGCTCGTCACATTTTAGTGGAGACGCCTGTCACGTGGTGCCCTGATTCACGAATACCAACCATATGCAAATAAACGCAAATCTTAACATTGGAGTCGGGAGGGAGAGAAGAAGAAGTACAATCAGGGAAAAGTTAGATATCGATAGATAAGTTGGTTGAGAAGGCGTGACATAAAAAAATCGTCAGTTTCTTTCTAGAGGATTCACAATAACTTGAACTACTTGCAAAATAAGACATCACGTCTTTATCACATTCGACGCACGTATACGAAATGTAAAAATAAAAATGTTCTAGAAGTTTTAAAATCCTCGAAATAAATCCTCGAAATATATTTCAAGGATTTTAAAACTTCCAGAACATTTTTATTTTTACATTTTACATTTCGTATACGTGCGTCGAATGTGGTAAAGACGTGACGTCTTGTTTTGCAAGTAGTTCAAGTTATTCGAACACATTCCTAGTCTCGGCATTTACAATTTCTCAAAAAAAGGTCCACAATAGGTTTGGCGGGATGCGGGATTTGGCTATTTTTTGTGGTGATACTAGGGATGCGAGCTAAAAAAAAGGGGAGCGGAAAGCGGGAATTTTGACAATCAACCTCGTTCCCAGGGTTCTCTCTCGGAGTATGAGAGAACCCCGATTGCGAGAAAAAACAAAGGACTGTTTTGCAAACTATTAGCTACTATTTGCGGGCACACGCACCTATTTTTGTGCGGATTTAAGGTGACTCGACCCAGTTTTTTTTGGGGGGGGTACCATCCTACTTTGAAGCTCTCTGGTATCCCCACCTTTACTTTTATCGTAAGTCTAACACAAAGAATGGATAACATATAGATCAATCTACAATATAACATAAAATTTTGGGCGATCGGAGTAAATGTCACGTGGTTATAATGCCACGCCCCTTTGCCGGCATTTTTTCATGAAAATCTCTCGGCTACACGTAGTGCGCATTAGTGCCTTGCGCTGAACAGAGTTTCACCAAAATCGCAAAGACCCAATTCGAGAAATTGTAAATGCGCGCGATTTCGAGCAAAGCAAACATATAGAAATTATAGTTATTTGTTGACGTTTGTCAGCGTTTTAGAGTCCTTCTCACGAAAAAAGCATTTTCTTAAAAAGTCGTAGTTTTTTTTCCTTCAAATTTTTTCAGGGCCACAATTGATTAACTAACTACCCGGACTCTGAATTTCATGGTCATTGAAAAACTGTGACATTATCTTCTATAAGCTCAAACTTGAGTAAACATTGAAGATTTTTAGCGTTTTGGCTGAGTTTGTGCTTTGGGAGTTGTCTATTGTTTCTAGTCTGTCATTATACAGCATTCTTGTTCAGCACGCGTGCAATGACCACGCTTGGCTGACTTCCGAATGCTCGAAATCGCGCGCATTTACAAGGCCCTAAAGCGTTTGGCTGACTTGCAAGGACCCATCTGTTATAACGATGCCCAAAATAAAGGGATGAATCTCTTGGTTTATTAGATATAATCCGTGTAAAGTTTGCTTATCATTTTCGCATAAATTATGACCTAAATTTGGAAACCGCTGAATTTCTCGAATTGGGTCTTTGCGACTTTGGTGAAACTCTGTTCTGCGCAAGGCACTAATGCGCACTACGTGTAGCCGAGAGATTTTCATGAAAAAATGCCGGCAACAGCCGATTTTCGACTCAGACCTCAAAGGGGCGTGGCATTATAACCACGTGACATTTACTTCGATCGCCAAAAATTTTATGTTATATTGTAGATTGATCTATATGTTATCCATTCTATGTGTTAGACTTACGATAAAAGTAAAGGTGGGGATACCAGAGAGCTTCAAAGTAGGATGGTACCCCCCCAAAAAAACTGGGTCGAGTCACCTTAAGAATGAAAGAAAATAAAGAGATTTTAAACAGGAATGAGTACAAAAGAGGAAGAAAGCAGTACAAAAGAGGAAGAAATCAAGGACCAAGCGCAAGAAGCCGGTGGAAAAGTAAAATTTCTGCATGGGGGTTGTCTACATTTGGTTGTACTGTTCGATTCCATAGGAGTTTGGGTTTCCATAAAAGAGAATATTTTATCAATCTGTCCAACCAGTGTGTTCATGTATACTTTCCACGACCCATAGTCAGCGTAGACAATTGGCTTCATCGCCTAATGCAACCTAATATATAGATTTAGCCAGGGCTAAAAGCGAGGCTCCCATTAGTAAATTTATAATTTAAATTAAACAATAAACTTGTATTCGAATTCCACAATTCAGTTAACTTTAGAGCACATTTATGTGACTTTTGAGGGAAAGGCTACCTGATTTTAGAGAAAAATAATTTGCAAACAGCCCAAGAGTGAACCAAATCTTACATGGAGTTGATAGCCTCATATGTACACTCAAAAACTGGTAATCATCTTTTATCACATTTAAGAGCCGTAATGGCTATTGATCACCGTAGATCAATTAGGCTTAGAAAAAAAACCAGGCCAACGTTTTGGCGTTCGACAAGTTTACTTTGCAAAATCTTGCCAACAAATCTGGGTGCGTATAAACCAACCTTTTATACCATGGACAGAAAGCAGTATTTCACAATACAAATTGCTCTCATTCAATATTCATAAACTGTTAAAAAAATTTTCCAAAATCACCTATACGGCCATCCGGTTCTCACTTTTGTAGTGCGAGCTGTAGCGAGTGTTTGAATGAACATTAACAGAGTTACGCTCCAAGATAATAAAGAATTTATCATGTTTATTTTTTATTTGATGGTTTAACGCGCGGCATTTTGAGAACTCCTGCAAGCGATGTTCACTGAACGACTGAAAACAATCGGCATAGCGATTAAAATTGCAAGAGAGACTACTAACAATCAATAAAAGAAATATAATTCGGTGAAACATAAACAGAGACAACAATTTTCATTCAGGAAGACAAGTATTAAAGTGTCCCTAAATATCCTGAATCTTCAAGCTTCAACCTTAAGTTTGCTGAAGTTTATGTTTTAAGCCAGCTTCCCGGTGTTTGTTTTTCAAAGACGAACTCGAGGCAAGAAAATCGCTCAAAGCTTTCTTTTCCGGCTAGAATTATAACTAAAGATTCTTTGGAACATTTTCTTTCTATTTGCAGTGAGAAACTGTCTAAAGGTTTTTTAAAGTTCTGTAAGATTATATCAAACCAGATACTCGGTGAGATCGTTGTCTCAAATCTTACAAACGCGCATAAACTAAATTCCCGCATAAACTACGCTCCACTTCATTAAATTAGATACAAAAACAAACATGAAATACAATAATTTCTCTGGCTTACCATTCGAGATGCAGCTCCTGAAAGTTATCAGGTAAAGCCAGTATCGCTTCAGACTTTGCAATCCTCTTACGCATCAAGCAAGGTGAAAACGAAAACGATGCCATCCGAAATCGGATTTCCGACTTTGACAAGCGACGTTTTCTCAACCAAAAACCCAATAAACAAACTAGCCATGAGTAACAGAAGACTCCTGATAGCAGCTGAATTTCATTTTGTACATCCAGTGGAAAAAGACAGTTAAAAACATCACAAGTTGACACAACATTCTGTCAGCTTCAGCTGTTAAAGTAAACAAGATTCAAGATGCTGCATAAATTTTGTGCATGAACTCACCTGTCAAATTTTGACCAATCAGAGCATAAAAATTGGACGTAGAGCGTGACCAACGCGTGACCATTGTGAGAAAAAACAAAAGCAACTGTCTTCCCTGCCTGTAACAGCTGGCTGAATTTTCACGTCCGAGGTCAGTTTGCAATCAAAATTTTAATTGTGCAGCACATAAACACAACATATTTCATATGAATTACGAAAAAAAATTGAACTTGAGCCTGCGATCACTTGAAAACTAGTTTACTTGTCAGCGGATAACTTCAAAAAATACTTGACCTCGACGGGTCGACACCTGAGCCCGCGATACGGTCAAGTGATACTGGTCAGCGAGTACTCTGTTTTGACAACTGTCAATTGATCAAAACATTGATGTCCAATATGTGTGCATTATCAGTTTTCCTGTGCTCCCAAACTAGTAAAAGTATGAGATTGAACGTTGTTCGCGATCTAGTAAAACAGTTAACTGGTCAGCGGACAGCTTCCAAATAAATCACGTCAGCAGGGCTGAAAAACGACTGCGCATGCGTCAGGCGAGGCGGTTGTCTCTCATTTCGATCGTTTGATCAATGAAAAGTATGGCGGTGAACGCGGCCGTTCCCAGGCAATGTTTGTTTACAAGATGGAACTGAGAGACGCAGTTTGTGAACGTTTTCAGTCAACGGAAATTCTCTGACATGCTGAAAGATTCTAGGGAATGTTCGTCTATTTAGATAGTTTAAAGCCGGCGGACAAGTTCCTGAAAGCGTCCCTTCTTTGTGGAAACGATGGCCGCTCTTGGTGAGTAGGTTTGATTGATTTTATACACTTTAAAAATATAATCGAGTTATTATCAAGTGAACTCTCAATGGACGTAACGTGATAAATTCCTTCCAATCATAGTTTTATTACATTTTGACTCCCAACCAAGCCCGCATGTAAACTGAGAGATAAAACTGAAATCGCGCGGGAATTGAAGTCTTCATGAATAAACAAGCATGCTTCACGTAAACAGATGGCATTAAAATATACCGTCTCGAGTTAATTGACAGTAATCCTTGTCATTGTTGACTTGTTCCTGTATAAGTACTTTCTTGGAAGTTTATAGAGGGGGTTTTCTGGCATGATTCATCGACCAAAGAAATAACTTCTACGAATTGCGGATTTTTACTAAAATGTCATTTCATGTTCAGTTATTGGCTATCAATTTGAGTCTTTCTCGGGCGCGATCCACCTTTGGTCACAGGACACTAAATAATTATCTTATTGAATTCAGGATTCATGACTTTTATGAAAGCACCTCTGTACGGCCCTCTTTCTAGTTGAACGTCACGTTGGTGACAGTTCCAAGTGTATATTGAAAACCATTAATTCTCTTATACCAAGAGAGAAGTTCAAATGAATGCTGCCACTCTGTAAAGGCAACTTGGGCCCCACTGTTCCCATGAAAATGACTGTCTAAAAGAAAAACTCCCTGTGTTGTTGGAATAAAGACAACTGTGTTGGACCGTAAGATAAATACTGATGTTGTTCGCCCTTTGGCTAGAGCTTGTCTCCAGTAGTAAGGCAAAGAAGCTGTGGGATTCGTCTCAGGGACAATGCTAACAGGCAGTTCAGGTCCCACAGTAGTATTTCCAATGATGTTATTTAAAACACTAGAGGTTTGAATTGCCTCCAACACACCAAATGTTCGAGGTATACTCGTTACTGAGTCATAGATAGAGTTCCCAGCCAAAATGCCTTGCACAACTATCTGATAAACCCATGTCTGGCTTAGTGGACTCCCAGTTGCTGGAATGTTGACATTGGGTGAAAAAAACATTTTGCTAAATAAAAGGGCAATGAATGTGCATGCATTACTTCCTGTTCTTCCAAGGATTGTAGATTGAGAAATGATATGTGGGAAAGACCAGTAGGTGACATTACCATTGTGATAGGGTTGGATGGTAATGGGTGTGAGAACATGAGATGGGGTATTAGAGTTGGATTCATGTACTGTTGGCTGGGCTGAAGAGTGATTGTGGTTTGGATGGGATGGAAGAGGGATTGCTGCATAACTATTCACTGTGCTGTCAACCTTCGTAGCCCATTCTGCTGAGGAATAAAATGACTGAGCCTCTGTCACACTCATGGCTGCTGGTGTACTAATTCTTTCTTCTTCCTGAATGTCTTCATTGCTTTCAAAAGCAAGAGTATCATTAGAAGTTAGCAGTCCAGTGTTGAATGTGTTCACTAATTTTTCCACCTTTTTCTTCAGTGGAACCAGACAGATCGGGCAACAATCATGCGATGAAATGCAAGATTGGTGAAAACAATGGAAGCAGGCCAATCTCATGACAGTACTTGTATCTCTTCTTGTGCATGGTGGATAATCACAGTAAACATTTGAGTCAGGTTCCAGGCCAGGTTCCACATCCTCCAAGTTATAACTCAGTGGAAAACACTTTGTGTCAACTATTGTGTCAAACGTTGGGAGATAATACTGTGGCTTTCCCTTTGGTCTTCCATTATTTGCAAGGGAGCGTTCGACCTAAAAAGACAAAACCAAATGAGGTCAGTAGAATATGAATACACTGAAGTGTACTTACAGGTGTGTGCACAATGCATTTTGCATATTTTATTGTGCTTCTTTACTTTAGTTTTAGTTCACAACTTTGTTTTCTTACTCTGTGGATTGACTGTATAACTTTTTACCAATTCTTTTGATTATTAGAGCAAAAACTGATAATTACTTTTCAGATGAAGTATTGTCAGTGTCATCTCTTTTTCAGTTATTAAGAACATAGGGCCAGTTCCTTATCAAGCCGTATGGTACCTGTGTTATGGGCACCTTTAAAACTTTATAGTTCACTGTATTTACTTGCCAGAAACAATGTAATAATTATAAATAATTATTTGTGATATGTTTTTGCCTTAGGAGTGTTACCTGGTGTGATTTCTGACAGTTTCTTGAGACATTCCTAAACAGTTCAAGTAAGAATTCTGCTGTCTTCCTGCGATAAGCCATAAGTTTGGTTCAGCATGACCGCGGTGGTATTGAGGAACAAAGGACTGTATAAAATCATTTAAAAAACCTGATGATGCGATAGACTTTGCTGTGTCTTCAATGCTTTTTGCATCGTCAAACTTCTCAGTGTTTCTTCGCAGTACAGAGTGCCAAACTTCAACATTCTTTTCTGTGATCAGTTTGAGAACACTTGCCTTCTTTGACCAGTATTCTGGAAGATGTTTGCACTGGTATGCACAATCACTCAAAAATGACAAGGTTGATTTGTCATAATGTCTCCTTTTCCAGCATATGAAAATTATAGCTATTTGTGCCATAACTTTCTCATACAACTTTAAGTCACCACTTCTGAAAATGTTATACTGGTAGAACACAAGGGGCAAAACATGTTCAAGCAAGTGTAGAATGGTGACAAATTCATGTTGCTTGCACTTTCCAAACTTTTCCAGTACCTTTTGTCGTATCAGTTGCCAACCAAGTAAGGCAGCAGTAACACACAGGGATGTCTGGTATGGTTTGGGTTTCGATGCCAAAGTACCTCCAAAAACATACGAAAACAGTTTGTCAAAAAAAAATTTAAAATTCAAAAGAACATCTTCATAAGCATTCAGACACACATGAAATGGCCCTTGTTCTGGAATTATGCTAATGTTGGGATTCCATCCACTTGCTATCAGCTTTTTGGGATAGTACCACCCTGGCCAGTCAGCAGGCAATGGTACAACAAATTTCTTGCTGTACAGGTTAAGTTGAGGGCATTTGTTCAGTACACGTTCAAGGGCCATCTTGTAATGTTCCATGCTCTTTAAATCTTGTTGAAACTCATCAACTAGCATACAAGTCTCGAGCGTCTCAATGTCTTGTGTTGTTGGATCTGAGTACACCCTGTTCAACAGACAGACATTACAGATATTTACAATTTCATTGCAATTATTAAGTCAATTTTTTTTTGCTGTTAACCTGTTGTCTTTCTCTTTTGTAATAGACATTTTTCTGTGATAAATGGGTAACAAATAAGACTAATGTGTACCTTAGTTCATGTAGTGCTGTTTGTAGTCTTCCTGGATCAAGGCTTTGCATGTAACTTGGTAGCTGGTCCCAGAACTGTTTATTCATATTTCTTAATGAGTTTGTTATTGTTTGCAGGACATCATTAATGTCAATTCCGCCAGCACAGGTCCTCTGCTCTCCATTTACATTTATTGTCACTTGTCTGTGTAAGGGAAATGCAGGCCTAGGGACTGCATGAACTGATGGATGAACATCTGCCAAACAGGATGCCATGTGAATGACATTTGTCCGTACCAACTGTGATGGTGTATGGAGTGAGTGGATGTTGTGGAAGTCATCAAGCATTAAAACTATAAAGCATTGCAGCTGTTAAGAAAGACAAAAAGCAAAATTAAACACAACACACATAAACTGTTGTGTCAATGTTATTTACTGTATGAGGAGATTTCATGATGATTCTCTTTGTTTCAAAGCTTTTTCTTGGGCAATTGGTACACAACTGTTAGATATTAGATATATTTACACCCAAGGGACTCGCCTCATTTACCCTGTGAAATTGTTGACAAATGAAGCTTGTGTGTTGTACACTTAAATTAGCTTTTAACTGCTGTATTGTCCTGGGGGTTGTGCTGTATCCCAACACCTGGCCAGAAGATAGTCCCCGTAATGACATGCCACAGTTGGATGCATGCAGTCCGCTGTCCTTCTGTAGGGCAGACGTTTTTTGTGATCTGTGACAAATAAAACAAATGTTATTATACCAGTTATAAATGACTGTGTGCAAAATTATATCCCAGATCACTAAACTCAAAGTACATACCTAAAATAAGCCAGGATGTGAAGTAAAGCCACTGTCAAGAAATCGAGCCTATGAACAATGAATACTGAACTGAAACTAATAGAACAATAGAAATAGCGGAAATAGCCTAGGAAAATGAACACTTGGAACCGCACAGAGATTTGTTGTTTTGACTAATTTAGAATTTAGATGTTATCTGATCTACGTGACCGGGCGTAGTGTTACATAGAAGAACTTTGATTGTAGTCTTGAGTACGGATAGTGTTTATTGAGAGAACCGACTAGTTTTTTGAGCTTTACCGCCTTTAGAACATCAAGCCTTGTTACACAGAAGGATTCAGCCAATAAAATTCTTTACATGGTCCTTTGACGAGCCGGATTTGAACGAGCTCATAGGAAAATGGCCTCAAAAAGCAAACAGAAGCGTCAAGGGCATCGCTTGTACGCCACAAAGCTGATGGGAGACGCAGAGCAAATAATCAAGGATTTCGATTCTTCAAAGGAAAACAAGTTGAAACAAATCAAAATTTCGCTTCGTGATCGTATGGAAATCTTACGCAACTTGGACGAAGCAATTTTGGGCGCCTTAGAAAAGGATGAAGAAATCGAAGAAGAAATCGCCGACGCAGGAAGGTTTAGCGAGAGAATATTGGAGCTTATCGTGGAGATCGAAAGCGTGCTGTCGCTCCATGGAAGTAAGAGCCAGAGCGGGAATGGATCACCGACCCAAGTTTCAAAAGCGGAAAGCGCTGGCAGCGCGAACAAACACGCGAAATTGCCCCGAATAAGTTTAAAGAGTTTCTCCGGGGAGCCAAGCCAGTGGTTGACATTTTGGGATAGTTTTAGGAGCGCTGTTCACGAAAATACCGAAGTGCACGACATCGACAAGTTCAACTACTTGAGAAGCCTCTTGAACGGATCTGCAGCCGCGACAATCGCCGGTCTACCTCTAACGGACGCCAACTATAATGCAGCGATCGAGCTCCTAAAGAATCGATTCGGAAATAAACAAGTAATCATAAGCAGTCACATGGATGGCCTTCTCAAACTGACGCCCTTAGGAAACACATCGGACGTTCGGAAATTACGGCAAACCTACGATGAAATTGAAGCGCACGTAAGAGGCCTACAAGCGTTAGAAGTGCCTACAGAATCTTATGGAAGTTTTCTCGTACCGGTGCTTATGACGAAAATTCCCGAAGATATTCGCCTGTTAGTGGGCCGTGAAATGAAAGACGGAGAATGGAACCTCACTGAAATCTTACGACTTCTGCGCAGTGAAGTAGAAAACAGAGAAAGATGTGGAGGAGTGCAGGCCCTGGCCCGAAAGGAAAATTTATACAGTCCAGAAGATCGAAGGAACGCAAAATCGCCAAAATCAGGACCGACAAGCGCGTCAGCATTGTTTTCCGGAAACCAGCCTTCAAATACAACACATTGCACATTTTGCAAGCAACCGCACCCAACAGCAAGTTGCCACGTGGTGACAAACAAAACAGCGAGGAGAGAATGCCTAAAAAGCAGGGTCGTTGTTTTATTTGCCTTAAAAAGAAGCCATCTTGCGAGAGATTGCCCATCAAATATGGCTTGTTTAAAGTGTTCTGGGAGACATCACGTTAGTCTGTGTGAAATGGCAATGAAACCACAACAACGACAGCAGGAATCCATGGTTAGCCAAAACAACGGAAATACCACCAATACATGGCCTTATCGGCAACCGTCGCAAGCCTCACAAACAAGAACCTTTTACGTGGGATCGCACGATTCAATTTTGCTACAAACCGCACAAGCCTTCATCGGAAATGGAAACACCTCGACTGGAATAAGAGCGAGAGTAATTTTTGACTCAGGAAGCCAGAAAAGTTACATTACTCAACGCGCACGTGACCAACTAAACTCGCCAACAATCAGTAAAGAATCGCTCTTGATAAAAACATTCGGATCTGGCGTCACCGGGCAACCAACGGAATGTGAGAAGGTTAAAGTTGCCGTGAGAAATGTGAACATGTGGTCATCGCGAGAAATTGAAGCCTTTGTTGTACCGACCATTTGCACACCAATCGGAAGTCAAGAGATTGACACTGCCAAGGAACAGTTTTCTTATCTCACAGAAATTGAATTAGCCGACGGTGACCATGGAAACGAAAATCTAGAAATTGACATGCTAATCGGCGCTGATTTCATGTGGTTATTTTTCACTGGAGAGACGAGACGAGGAGAGAACGGCGAAGGACCTGTGGCGAGCTGTACAACCCTGGGATGGGTACTATCGGGCCCAGTCCCCAGCGAGAAGAAAAAGCGCGCAACTTTCAAGCGTCAATTTTGTCTCCACACACGTGCTAAAAGTTGCCGGCGAACCGAAAAAGAATGCCACACGGAAGAGCTTCTTCAGCGACTATGGGACCTGGATTCAATCGGGATTAGAGAGAAAGAAACTGTCCATGAGGCATTTCTAGAGAACATTTCATTCGCAAACGACCGATATTCTGTGAAGCTTCCTTGAAAGAAAACCGAGACCTACTGCCTGACAACTACGATCTAAGCCTTGCAAGACTGAACTCCCTCGTGCGACGTCTAAGAAAAGAGCCTTCTATCATGAAAGAGTACGACCAGATCTTCCAAGATCAACTGCACCATGGAATCATTGAACGTGTGGATGAAACCGAAGAACAGTTACCAGGTCAGACGCACTATTTGCCCCATCAGGCCGTTATCAGAAGCGACGCCTTAACGACTAAATTGAGAGTGGTGTTTGACGCAAGTGCCAAAGTGAAACCAAGCTGTCCTTCCCTGAACGATTGCACTCACACTGGTCCACCGCTGACCCCTGGTATTGCAGACATCTTGATGCGTTTCAGAGCCCATAAAGTTGGATTAGTCGCCGACATTGAGAAAGCCTTTCTGAATATCGCAGTGGATGAGCAGCAAAGAGACCTGATGCGATTTCTGTGGATTGACGACGTTACAAAGGACGATCCAAATGTTGAGATCTATCGCTTCTGCCGAGTTATCTTCGGTATGAACTGTTCTCCGTTCCTGCTCAACGCGACACTACGGCACCATGTTACCGAGTACTATGCACATGACTCAGCCTTAGCAGAGTACACTCTAGCAGGCCTGTACGTGGATGATTTGACATCTGGCGGCGAAGACGATGAAGAAGCGTATTCCATTTACAAGGAGACTAATTCTTGCTTCGCAGCTGGGCGTTTCAACTTACGCAAATGGGCGTCGAACAGAAGAGGAGTCATTGAGAAGATTTCAAGTGACAGAATGAAACGAGAACGTCTTGGGAAACAAGAATCCGCATCAGACGAAGAACAATCTTACGCAAAGATCACCGTTGGCGGCCTAGAAGAAATCGACCCCACAAAGGAACATAAGGTCCTCGGAACAAATTGGAACCTGGAGGAAGACACCATTGTTATGAAGCTGAATAAGATCGTCGAATTCGCCAGAAACCTGAACCTACAAAGAGAAACGTTCTCCGAATTGCAGCCAAACTGTTTGATCCTCTAGGACTGATATCACCAGTGATGGTGGTGTTAAGAATGCTGCTGCAAGAACTTTGTCTAAGTAAGTGTGAATGGGACAGCCTCACCCCTCAACCTGGAAGAAACCGCCTACAAAAGTGGCTGACTGACCTGGAAAAAGTTGGCGAAATGACTGTGAATCGTTATTACTTCCCAGAAGAAGAAAGAAGAATTAAGTTTGCAACTCTACACGGATTCGGAGATGCTTCGAAGGGAGCGTATTGTGCAGTAGTCTACCTGTGCATTGAAACCGAAGATGGCTACAAAACAAGCCTCGTAGCAGCCAAGAGCAGAGTTACGCCATCTTCGCCTATGAGTATTCCCAGACTCGAGCTGCTTGCCGCACTAATCCTGGCCCGTTTGATCTCTACCGTACAAGAAGCCTTAGCCCAGGTATTGAACACCAAAGAAGTCCTTTGTTGGACCGACAGTATTACAGTGTTCTACTGGATACAGTCCAACAAAGAATACAAGCAGTTTGTGCAGAACCGCATAGACGAGATCCACAAGTTGACCGATGCGAAGAGCTGGCGTCATTGTCCTGGAGTTGAAAATCCTGCTGACGTTGGCTCCAGAGGGTGTCTCGCATCTGAGCTCGTGGATAACCGCCTGTGGTGGGAGGGCCCCGCCTGGTTAAAGGGCCCACCGAAGAACTACCCGGCCTCTGAAGTCTCAAAAGAAGAAGATCTGACAGAAGAATGCAGGACGGAATTTAAAGCAAAGGAACAAAACCTTCGAATGTGACTACCATGGTTAACCTGACCACAGAGCCTAGCAATCCTGTAAAGCTGGCTGAAATCATCGACTGCGAACGTTTCAGCGATGCCACTAAACTATTCAGAGTAACAGCTCTCAGCCTGAAGTTCATCAGAAATCTGAAGTCAGCAAAGACCGAGAGAAGAGAAGCACAAAGTAAACAGACCACCCTTACAGCTGAAGAAATCAGTGAAGGAAAGTACTTTGGATCCGTGAAGTTCAAAAGCCCTTTGAAAAGAGAGAGGAACTTCGAGAACCTTAAACAGCAGCTTGGGCTGTTCAGACATGAAGATACCATTCTGAAGTGCAAAGGCAGACTTGGAAACGCCCCGTTGAGTGCCGAAACCCGTTACCCCTCACTATTACCGAGGCGGCATCACGTGACAAGACTGATTGTGGAAGCCTGCCACCGGAAGACCAATCACGGAGGAGTGAAGGAAACTTTAGTCGAAGTAAGGACAAACTTCTGGATTCCAAAGGGAGGCAGTACGTAAAGAGGATCCTGCATCAATGCGTTATTTGTAAGAAAAGAGAGGGAGTGCCGTACAGACCACCACCGACCGCTGACCTACCTGAATCAAGAGTCTCCGGAAGCCCGGCCTTCACCCATGTGGGAGTGGATTTCGCCGGCCCTGTGTACGTGAAAAGCACCAGCGGCATTACTAAACAGATGAAGAAAGCGTACATCTGCCTATTCACCTGTGCAACCTCGAGAGCCTTACACCTAGAACTGACACCAGACCTCTCAACGGAAGCGTTCGTCAGATGCTTGCGGAGGTTCATAGCCAGACGTGGGAGACCAGCCTCCATAACAAGCGACAACGCGAAGACCTTCAAGCGAGCCAACAAGGAGCTAGGACAACTACTTCAGAACAAGAGAACGCAAGATTTTGCCGCCAACCAAGGGATCACTTGGAAGTTTATTCTAGAAAAAGCGCCCATGGGGGGAGGCTACTATGAGCGTATGGTACAACTAGTAAAAAGAAGCCTTCGCAAAGTTCTCGGAAAGGCGCAGCTGTCCTTTGAAGAGCTACTTACAGTCTTAACAGAAGTGGAGGGAGTACTAAACTCACGTCCCCTCACATATGTCTACTCAGACATCACAGATCAGAGAACCCTTACACCATCGCACCTGGTCATTGGAAGACGACTTGCCACACTACCAAACCCCGCCGAGCTAAGCGATAATGAAGAAACCGCCTCCAGCCTTGAAAGGAGAGCGCGTTACCTCAGCAGACTACTAGAACACTTCTGGAAACGATGGTCTAACGAGTACCTTGTTGGACTGAGAGAATTTCATTATTGCGGAACCAGAGGAAATCAGAACAAAGAAGTCAAGGTTGGAGACGTCGTTCTGATCCACGACGACAGTCTAGCGAGGTGCAAGTGGAGATTAGGAGAAATCACCGAGCTGATCGAGAGCAAAGATGGACACAAACGAGGTGCTGTGTTGCGAGCCATCAGCAAGAAGGAAAGCCCTCAACGATGCGGAGAGCAGTGCAGAAACTTGTCCCACTGGAAGTGAACACCGGAAACCTGCCTCAAAACGAACACGTCGGAACCGAGGAAGCTGGAATTGTCCAGCAGCCTGACCATCCAGCTGAACTTGTGAGACCACCGAGACGAGCAGCAGCAGCTACTGCAGACAAGATCAGGAGACTTCTTGACCAACAGTGAGCAGTTGGTCAAGGGGGGAGTGTCAAGAAATCGAGCCTATGAACAATGAATACTGAACTGAAACTAATAGAACAATAGAAATAGCGGAAATAGCCTAGGAAAATGAACACTTGGAACCGCACAGAGATTTGTTGTTTTGACTAATTTAGAATTTAGATGTTATCTGATCTACGTGACCGGGCGTAGTGTTACATAGAAGAACTTTGATTGTAGTCTTGAGTACGGATAGTGTTTATTGAGAGAACCGACTAGTTTTTTGAGCTTTACCGCCTTTAGAACATCAAGCCTTGTTACACAGAAGGATTCAGCCAATAAAATTCTTTACAGCCACTACTCTCTGCTCTTGCAGCTTTCTTCTGTTCTCAGACAGGCTTTTACCTCCTGTAACACAGGTAAGAAGATCTTGAAAGAGTCCAGGGCTGTTTTTATTCACAAACTGTTTCATGGAATCTGTATCATAAATCTTTATGTCAGGTGTGGTAACTTGGTGCCTGTAAAGAGCCTTTTGAAATTCCTCTAGCTTCTTGTCAATTGTTGATTCTAAAATAAAGGAACCCAACCGTTTAATACAAAATGTGTTTTATGGGAAATGCAAAATAGTTGAGGGATGTAAAATTTAATTGCAGCAATGCAAAGTAAATTAATAAAACCTGTTATTCCTGAGAGCTGTTGTTTCAGCATCTCAATTTGTGTTGTCAGGGTGTGACATTTTTCAGCCTCCTTTTGGTAAAGTTGGTAAAACTCTGTCTCCTTTTCCGTTAAACTGGTCATCATATCCATTTTCTATAAAGAATGTAACAAGAACATGTTGGGGAAAGTGAGTACTTGTTACTGACTTGATAAAATGTAAATGCAAACTAACCAGGGAATTTCCAATATTTACCTTACTTCGTTTTCTTCTTACCATACCACTTTCTCCTTCTGTTTTTTTGTAAAACTTCCTTTTACAAGCATGGCACCACTTGCTCCCTGGTCGGAAGTTTTCGTTTTTTCGGCCGTAATTATCAATAATTCCATAATGTGTCGCTGGAATCTCTGTAAGTTTCTTTGAGTGCTTCTCTTGAAAGGGTGCAGAGCACCGATTTTCTTGGCTCTCGATCATCCGCAGATGTCTGAGGCAAACAATGGTGTGTTCCGGCAACTCTGCTGCTCTCGCTAACCCTGGTGGTAAGGGTTTGCTAGGGCCATAACAATCCTCTTTCGAGTTTCTGGTTCTACCAGAAAACCAACACCCAAAAACAGACGGCAAAATGACAATAAAAAGCCAACAAGGTGTTGTAAACATCGCCGATAATTTTCGCTAATTAGCCGGGTTCGCAACTTCACTTAAAGATCACGCGAATGGCCGTTTTCGGCGCGAAAACAATTTTTTCAAAATTTCTACACTCACTAGATTTTAAGGAAAATGTTTTTTCTTCTCAAAACTGTTGTTTAAACCCTTATCTTTTCAACTGTGACCTTATTTTTTCAATTTAAATGCCGTCTGTTTATTTCCCGCGAAACTGGAGTCATTTTGAATGAGCGCGCGGCTGAGCCTGCGTTTTTTGCCGCATGCCACAGCACATGCGCAGTCGTTTTTCAGCCCTGCTAATCACGTCACCTCGATGAGTTGACACATGAGCCCGCGATATGGTCATGGGATTCTGGTCAGTGGCTATCCTGTTTGGACAGCTGTCAATTGACCACATTGTTAATGTCCTATATTAAAGATGTGGACTTGCCAAGACACGCCTGAGACACCCCTCCCTTCCTTTTGATAGTCTCCCCTACCCCACCCATACAATCTGTAGACGCGTACGTACGTACGTACGCTCGGTCAATCACGTGACAACCAAACGAAAAGAGGTTGACCATATTCCATGGGTATGGGGCTCTGTCCCACGCGCGCTTCGCGCGCGCGGGAGCCCCGCTATCAGTAAATTAATCGAAAAATCCATCTGCCCAACTCAACTGGCTGTTTCCAGCGGGCCAGAACTCAGATCGAAGTAAACCTTCTTTTGTGTACTGATGCGCTCACATAAGCAAAACAGAAAATAAAGTTACAGTCGTTAATGGTTTAGCCTGGGATCAGGCTCCGCATTGGGGAAAAAGGGAGAAAAAAATTGATCCCGTTTTTTGCCTTTTTTCCCCACTACGGAAGCCTGATCCCAGGCTATTAATGGTTAAGTCAAGAGCTTTAAACATCAAAGCTGCCTATTGAAAGAAGGCAAGTCTTATACATTGAACGCATAACGTTTTGATACTTCAATAATGAAAGCAAGAAACTCGTAAAAAAAATTAGGGCGGGATCTAGTCTGCAACACAGCCGTTTTTATTGTCGTCACGCAACGCTGGTCCCCACAAAATTTGTGGCTGTGTAGCAGACTAAGCGGGATCGGGATGTGGACGTAAAAACAGGCGGGATAGCGGGATTAAGAAAAAAAAAACAAGCGGAGAGGGGGGATTTGAGAACCCTATTGTGGACCCCCTGTCTAGTGTTCCCGGGGGGGGGTACTCCCTAATATGGGCTACATAGGTATGTGCGGCCCCAAAGGGTAGGGTTTTTCAGCCGTTTTGGTCATAAATTGGGTATCGATTTTGCCTATTTTGCCGCCATTTTGGTCATAAATAGGGTAACGATTTTTGCACTGTAGTCTTGAATGCACTTTTTTAGAAGAAGCTACTTCCTTATCATGTCCCCCTCCTTCCATCCGCGCTTTGCCTTCCTCTCCACCGGCTGCTCTGTAGGCTAGAAAATACAAGCAACAAAAGCCCTTCTCAAAATAGGGTATCAAATTTTTGGTTAGGTCATAAATAGGGTAGGGAAAATCGCAGATTTTGGTCATAAATAGGGTAAGGGTTTTGGGAAGCGGGCCGCACACCCCTACCCAATTTTTCTGCGAGTACCCCCCCCCGGGCTAGTGTTTCAACGAAATTTGACGTGTAATGTAGGCTAGTCTTAAATTCATGTCTTTCGATGTCAACCGGCGTTAATTTATCGTTTAAAAAGATCTATTTTGAAGTCCAGTGGATCAATTTTCAGATATTAACCTTGTTTTTTAAGGTGACGTTACACGAGACGATTCGCAACGGCGATTTTTAGCGCAACACAGGGTTCAAATGTTTGAACAATGTTGCAGAATTTCGAAATGATGTCACAACAATGTTGTAACGTTGTGTTGCCTTAAAAATCGTCCTGTGCAACATCACCTTTAAAGTGTTCGCAACGACCATTTTTTGAGCAACACACCATTGCAATACTGCAACAATGTTGAAACGCTGTGTTGCGCTAAAAATCTCCGTTGCGAATCGTCCCTTGTACCATCACCTTTAGCCTGAGCTGCGTGGCAAGCGTTTCAGCGCGAGTTCGAAGAGAAAGATGGAACGGGAGCAAAAAAGCTAGAGGAATTTAATTAAGTGTTTTTGCTCGATCTCGCTCCAACTTTCGCGCAATAACTCGATTAGAAACCCTTCAGTACGCTGCGCAAGCTGGTTGAGCGTGGCTACCCAGCAGACCACCCAGTCCAGCTATGTGTCATTCATTTCTTCAGACCGCTTCCCTCCCTATAGTCAAAATATGTGTTTCTTTGATGGAAGATTAGGTTCTTGATCTCTATTTTCTCACATTAAAACCGCTTCTCAGGTATACCTCAAGAATACGTCCATGCCCAAAGAAACGCACGAATCAGAATCGTAACAATCCGCATTTAGATTTGATTCATGAGTCCATTCGGAGTGAATCTTCCTTAGATTCAAACTTCATTTGTGGATTGTTGCAAAGCCGAACACAAAATTGGTTTCTGAAATCAACAATCTGGATTTGGATAAAGAAACGTACCTGAAATTGTCCTAAAATCCTGTATATTCGTTCTCATCACGCTTTTCTCGTGTTTCATTGTGCGCAAAAACACTCGTTTAGAAAGCGGGTTACGTTTTCATGAATGAGTAAGTCCTCTTTTTCCTCAGGGATGGTAGAGTGGGCTAAATACGCCTGCGTAAATAGACTTAAACGCAAGGATCAATTTCTCACGGCACAAAAGTTTCAGCTCGATTGGCTGGCATATAAACCGAGAAGGTGAAGCAGAATCGTCAGCTCAGCGATAAAACTGGAAAACAAATCCAAAATTCATTCACTTGCCGAACTCAAACACCGTGCTTTTGACAGAAATCAGCTTGCTGACCTTCAGCTTGATGGGAACCAGGCTGATGTACAAAGTTCCATTTGCGTTTATGACGTAAATAGCGCGCGCTAAATTATTCAAAACGGCGCAGAAAATGCGGGCGTACAACGAAAAACACTTGCTGAAAAGGTCAGCCACGAGTACCACAAGCTACCCAAGTAGCACAGGGATCGCAAGATTATGTATTGCGCCTACTAACGTCGAACGCAATTAAAGTTCAGGGACTTATGCTAGAGACTTAAAGTCTTCTAGGCGTTAGCCCGCGAGCAAGCTCTCCTGGGGTTCCCGCTATCTGGGGTCTTTAACGAATCTGAGAAGATAAAGTCCTCTGCCGTAAAAAAGACGACAAGATTGAACAAAAACACAAATAAACAAAACACTGAATTCTCCCAGTCGTCTGCTCATAACAAATTTTCCGCCTTTTCAGCTGCTAATGACAAGGCAGATACTGCACAAACGTGAGAGATACTGTCCCTAAAAAATTCAGCAGTTAAGCCATATTAGTGCATTGTTTTAAGCTACCTTATTCTCTCCTTACTAGTTACCCTTTATTGCTATGTATACGTATGTCACTATCTCTGCATCAATATTAGAAAATTTTCCTTTACAATAAATATTTTTTGGGGAACTGTCCCGCCAAATCCCTCCGTCCTTAAGACTTTCGAACAAGGGATAAAAAAATAATAATAATAATTAATAACAACAATAATAATAATAAATAATAATAATAATAATAATGATAATGATAACAATGATAATAAAAATAATGATAATAATAATAGTAATGATAATAATAAGTACAGGGATCTCGAAATAGAAATTAAGAAAACATTGAAACTAAAATCAACGACTGTCCCAGTCGCTATCCACTGGATAAATTTCTACAACGGATAGCGCAATTGGTTTTCCTAGTAATTATCCACTGGAAATCCGAGTACTCCCAAAAGGAGTCGAACCTAATGACCTTTTGGTTACTTATCTAGATGCTCTACCACTGAGCCACAGAAGACTCGTGAGAGCTTAGGCCAGTAAACAAGGGTCATGTCACAAACATCCTGCATTCTGCTAGGACTACGATGTCGATGTGCTCATGCGCAATGATGGAGAAGCGATAGAGAATTTTTAGCCTTGTGAATACATGAGAAAAGATTATTTTTCAATCTGCGACACAGGCACGCAGAAGAAAAAATCCCAGTATTCCCAATAAGAGACGACCTTATAATCTTCTAATTACACCTTTTGCTGTTCATTCCGAGAAAATACGCAATGATTTGCGTCAAACGGCGACCAATAGTGCGAAGATACATTCATTAGCGCGAAAATACGAACATTTGCGCATAAATCAGATTCAATTACGATTTTTGCATTTTAATCAACATTCAATAACACTTTTGGACATTCATATGCGTCACTGGGCATACAAAAGAGAGAAATATACTTTCATTAACGCCAACATCAAAGTCATGAACACCTTCTATAAAGTCAATAGGGACAACTGACAAAAAAGTGCAAACGCTATTCATTAACATTTTCATGACACTGTTTGCAATTCAATAGCATTCCTGGACAACCTTAGGATGGATAAGACAAACATTAATGCGCTTGTACAATCGAGTGTTCTATACATTAATACACAAAAATCTATTTTCAATTAAACAATAGAAATTCAAACAAATTTGGCCTGAATTTCAGTTCGTTAAATGTATATCCGTCAAAAACCTCTTTATTTAAACATTCTGGGAGGTAGGTTTGCATGAAATGATACCCTTTAGCACATTTAGCTGCGGTCACAATGTCATGTTTCTGCGCAGAGCTTCAAGCACTGCAGTTGTTTTGTCCGAACTCCGCTAGTGGGATTGCTAGGGCATTGCCCTCATTCCTGTTATACATCTTTGAATTTCTGGACTCAAGATGTCGGCCTTAGGTGTCGCTTTCAGACAAC